CAATGCAAATTTACAGCTTGTACATCTTTGCATTATATTGTTTACTTGAGTCATCTGTTGCATCAACAGCCTGAAGCACATTATGTGATCAGTATGTGAGGAGTTCACTGTAGCATTTGTCTGTCACATTAATCCATTGCTCCTCTTCTTCTATTTCATGTAATTTCGTATTAAGGACACTGTCAGCCTCTTGATTTAGTTTATCCTGGGCCTTTTCTCATCTTTTATGAAACCACAGTTTTGAGCAAAAATGACAGCAAGTGGTCTAAAGGAGCATCATTACTGAGTGTATTAATGTTTTAATTGACCAGAACAGAGCCTGCATTTAACTTGGTTGGAAAATTGTAAGAGTGAATGCAGAGAGCATCTACGGCTTACTTACTTCTTCACGTCTAACCACATCCTTTTTGCAATGCAGATTTGCAACTTGTGTTATCGTTGCATTATATTGTTTACTTGAGTTATCTGTTGCATCAACAGCCTGAAGCACATAAAGTGATCAGTATGTGAGGAGTTCACTGTAGCAGTCAGTCTATCACATTAATCCATTGCTCCTCTTCCATTTCATGTAATTTATCGTTTTGTATTTAGGACACTGTCAGCCTCTTGATTTAATTTATCCTGGGCCTTTTTCTCATCGTTTATGAATATTACTTAACACTACAGTACTTTAATGTAGAAGTCACTGCAGCTATTTGTCTTTTGAAATACAGCAGCAGTGACGCATTCAGAACATGAAAAAGCTGAAATGAGTGCAGAGCATGCATTATGCCAGCAGGACACGCTACATGTGAAATACACAGTGGTTTTCTCAGTAGCTGACCCTGATTTTCAAATATTTTATCTTGACTTTCAGCCACATCCTTTCTGCAAAGCAGCTATTATCTTTGCCTGATCTTTATGCTTACAACACAATACAACTTACTCATGCCTCAACAGCCTGTAAGAAGATTAATAAAGTCCTTACTTTAAATTCATTCACCATTTCACCAGCTCTTCTCTTAGATACACTGAAGAACCAATGTATACTGGAAAAAAAATTATAATTTTTTTAATGGAGTCAAGAGGTAAACCAACCAATTAACAAAATATCCAACAAGGTTCTGGGCCCAAAAGAGGTCAACTAAACTTAACCCAGGCTATAATAACTTAACAGACTTTAAACTGACTTTAAAAACTGAGACATGGGAGAAACATATAGTGGCTGATCAGCCACTACATAATATTAACTATAAAAAACAATGAAACTATAATATCAAAAGCATAATTGTCAAAAAAGTAACAACAAAAGTCAAACTAGAAAACACCTCCCCATGATGCAGGAGAACATGGTGCAGTCCAGTTTAAGCAGACCATTGAGCAGGTCTGATTCAATCCAGACTCCTTTTGTTGACAAGCAGCAACCCCCAGGAACCAGTAACTCAAAGAAAACTACGTACACACTTTGAATAATGTGCAAAAACCTATAGTAAATGAAACAAATGAAAATGACTTGTGTGCTCCAGTTCAGTGTGTGGCTGCTAGTGTGTCCATCATAAAGACAAAAGATAAATGCTTCAGGCTCTAAAAATCAGGACTTACAAAGAGAGAACAATAAAAAAAAAATTAAAAAACACTAAAATAATAAGGTAAAAAATAAAAACTTGGGATAGAGTAAGATTTTATTTTCATTTCAAATTTTGTATTTAAGACGCTTTCTTTTCCCCCACAGGTTGGACTCAAACCCGGACCGCTGCGGTAAGGACTACATGGGTGCGCAATCTACCAGCTGAGCCACCGTGCGCCCCACATGTTTGCAACTTTTTGTAAGTTGAATTGCTTGCACTTTCTTGCTGAGACAGCTGGTGACACACAAAGCCAGAAACTGAAAGTTTAAAAGTACAGAGACTGACAGTGTCCATTCCATCTTGTGGGCCACTTCCTCTGATTCTTTGAGGATACTCAGCCACATCAAGTGAACACAGATGCAATGCCAATACTCTTTGGTGTGGATCTACTTGACAAAGCCCACTGAAACATGTGTTTGAATTCTGTGACAAACTAGATGAACCACAGGAACCACAGTTTCCAGACTCAGGTTTGAGCATCAACGTTCTCACAGTGAGTTATGAAACATGTGCTCTAGTTAAATTACTTTCATCATTAATGGATAGCTAACAGTTATTATAACTCGGCCTGTTAATGTTTTATTTAACCAGAATCCAAATTAGGTTTAATTGACATTAAAATCACATTGACTGGGGATGCTGGTATATGCAAACATAACCATCTGCCCATCTGCCCATCAACAAATATGCAACAAAACACACACAGGTAGGGCAAATCAATAGTGATACATCTTGCATGGTTGTTCAAATAAATGCTGGTTTTAACAATCATGCAGGTTTATTTTATTAGTTGTTTTGTTTTTTGTTTTTGTTTTGCTTTAAGGTATTGCACGTTTGACTTCAATATACATCAGCTATGAAGCTTTTTAAGGGAAACCAGGAATTGTGTTTTCTACATCAAACTTACCCTATACAGAGAGAAAACGCTATACAGAGAGTTTTTTAAACACAGTTTCTCTCTTCTGATGAACAATATAACCACAGGAAATAGTATTTGACATTTGACAACTTTATTTTGCATTTCAGATAAAGAACAAACACTGATAGAGCAACTTAAATACAGCAAATACCCCCACAACAATAATAATAGTTTATTTACAGAACACATATCAGAAAAACAAGAAAGTATGTCATTTGTTAAGAATGGGCATTTTGTAAAAGGGAGTTTTATGACTGAAAGGCAGCGACAGCGTCAGCAGCCTGATGCTGAGTGGAAAGCTATTCCAGTACCGAGGAGCCAGCACATTACAATATGCTTAATTGTTACATTTAACAATTCTTTTTCTTGAGAATATCTTTGATCCATTTAAGGTATTTCGATATGTTCGTATAGACGTTGGGTACATTTGGGTAATCGCAGTCGCTCCTCATGTTGAAAGACACAATACCAACAGCCTCCCCGCCGCACACCAGAGGACCACCAGAATCACCCTGTAAGGAGGAAGAAGCTTCATTTGTTTATTCATTTTCTTTCTAGAAACTAGATGACATTTCCTATGAACAGACAGAAAACGTACCTTACAGAATCCATTCTTTGTGCCATACCCACCAGCACAGATCACATTGTCAGGAAGTTCATTTAAACTATTCCATTTTCTCTTACAGACCGTCAGGTTGACAAAAGGCACATCCACCACTTGTAGCTCCTTAGTAACTTCACCTCCAGTTCTTGTGAAACCCCATCCAGTCACACGGCACTTTGCGTTATCTTTTATTTTAATCGCAGTCTTTGGAAGTCGAATCGGTTTTACTCTCTTGTTCAGTCGAGCTTTCTTGGACAACTGGAGGCACATAAAAACACAAAAAGAAAATTAAAAACTAGAAAAGATTTATAGCATACTTCTTATCTTTCCTCAGACCAAGTTAAATGATTCCACCAGAGACTGAGGCTGATTAGAGACTGATTAAGTATGTACTTACTTTGAGGAGCATGATGTCGTTACCTAGTCCTACATTTTCAAAAGATGGATGCTTGCATGTCTTCACATTGTATCTCATTGTTCTATTATCAACCTTCTTGAGATTGTGGGTGCCAAGGACAACACTTGTGGGATTCCTGAACAAATGATAATCGAGGGGTAAATGAAAGTGTTAAAACTGACTGATCTCTAACCACATGAATCAAAGATCGCTGAAGGATGAAAGGTAACTCACGAGCGGATGCAGTGCGCAGCAGTGAGTACAAAGTCTTCACTGATGAGGAATCCTCCACATATATGATCACCCATGTTGTTCTGCACCGAGGCCATATACAGCATTAATGCCTCTGGGGCATTTTTACCATTTATGATTTCACTCCCAAGTGCTGTATAAATAAGAGGGAAGAAAAGGATGAATTAATATAGCACTTGTAGACCTGAGACCAGGGATGCTGGAAGTCAGTTGGGGGTGCTGGGAGAAAGTCAGTCTATATAGGCATCACACTAAATGCTAAATGCATGACATTTATGGTTTTTGCATTAGAGGCCAGGATCATTTATATGCTACTATTAACAATATTTTACACAAATTGTACAACTTTTTACAAAATAAAACGCATAAAAAATAAGGTGAAACCATATTCCTGCCATAAATGCCAGTGTGAACTCCCCATTAAAAATTGTGAAAGTCAAAATAATTTTAAACATTTTCTTGAACTAATGGTCTTTAGGGGGTGCTGCAGCACCCCTTGCTGCACTACTTGCAGGGCCCATGCCTGAAACTCATAACCAGATTTGGTAATCTTACCGTTAGGTCCCAGACATGTCAGAAGATGGAACAGCAGAAACGTATTCAGAGCATGCATCATGCTGCCAGCAGACTCAACCTGTTGAGCCTCTTTGGGGTGTCACGTCGACCCTTTTATACAGCAAGTTTGCTCCGTAAGCGACCCTGTGGTTTTCATTAGCTTCACTTTGACTTCTTTAGAAGCATCCTCTGTGTGTCGGTGTAACCTTTAATTAACTTAAATTGCTGAGTGCATGTGGTAAGTGGTCAAATGAGGCATCATGCAGTGTGGCCATTGTTACAGTAAATATAAAGCCTGTGGTTCAGCTGCTTCTGCAACCTGAAGCACGTAAGCACGTACATTATCAGTATGTGACAAGTTTAACACAGCCTGTAATATTAAGCCGTTTATTCTCAATTTCACTCAGTGTTTTAATTTTTCCTTTTTATATCTATGGGACTTTAATCAACCTATGTATTTTGTTATTTCTTCTCTGACTGTTTGGATACCATTTAACAAATTAAGCTTAAGTGAACTTTAGTCAAATTAATTTAAGTGAAAAAAAAAATCTTTGTTATGGATCTGCTTTTTAGTTGTGACCTTTGGGCTGTTGTTGCTGCTGGCTTTTGTCACTGCAAAAAACTAAATGAGTAACAGAAACCACAGTTTCCAGCTTCAGGTTTGAGTGTCTGCATTTTCACAATTATGAAACTAATTCTGTAAAGTCATGTGATCATTGACTGGCAGCTAGAAGTCTGAAGGAGCATTATGTCTCCTCTGTCTGTGTCACTTAACCGCATTGGAACATCTGTTTGTGAGTGACGTGTGTTTACTGACTGTGGATACTGTAGGTTGGCTCAAACAAGTATGTTTATTAAATGAAAAAGGAATATATGCTGGAGGAGGCATTACTACATAACAAGAACATTATGAGAAAGTTTTGAAAGAAGGGAAAAGGAAACGGATGAAGAATGGCTTAGCTATGTAGTATGGTTGCATCATTTGGATGAAATATTGCAGTTATTGTATTATTGGTCTTGTAGTTAGATTTTACTGGTGATGCATACAGCCTTCTGTTTCTGTAAGCTAAAGTTGATGTATGCAAAACACTAACTATACACTAACAGTTTTTATTTAGAGGGTTAAATGCCTTAGACAAAGTGTCATAGTCTTCAAACAAAAGTCAAACTCAGTTTATTTCACACTCACACAGTTATTTTATAGACAATAGTGATACAATCATCTTCATGAATTTAAAACAGACCTAGTCACCACTATTCATCTAATTCTTCATTTAGTTTCATTTTGCAGCTATGTCACTTCTGGACCTTTTTGTGCAGACTACTACACCACATCAAATTAGCTTTAGTATGATAAGCGCATTAGGCGAAAAACACAGACACACCACCAATGTTCTTTGGTTTGGATCGATGTAAAACGACCCACAACCCCAAACTGTTTCTTCAAATTTGTGACAATTTTGACAAACCGCATAAACCGCAATTTCAAGCTGCAGATTTGAGCATTGATGTTCCCACGGTCACAGCATAGTTAGTCATATAGCTAAACATGTTTAAAGTGAAGGGCCATAAAAACATATCTTTTTAATATATACAGGTTTTATGCAAACATACCATAAACACAAGGAACAAATTTGTGCTGCCCCCAGTACCCAGCTTGGTATTAGCTATAAAGCCCCAGCTTATAGTGCAGGCAGAGGTCAGAATCTCTGCACTTCAAGCAGTGATAGGAGAGCGACAGGAGACAACATGGTCAAAAATCAAAGTATAACTTTTTTTTTCAAAGGTGTCACAGAAGGAAACACATCTTAACAAAGCAAGTGACTTAGACAAAGCAACGCATCCACAAAACAATACAATCAAAATTTGGTCACAAATTTTTTTTTAAAATGTATCATTGTTACATTTAACAGTTCTTTTTATTGAGGGTGTCAATTATCCAGGCAAGACATGCTGATATGTCTGTATAGATGTTGGGGTATTCTGGGTAGTCACAGTTATTCTTGTTGTTAAAGGAAACAACACCAACTGCCACCTTCCCGCACACCAGAGGGCCACCAGAATCGCCCTGTGAAAAGAGGAGAAGCCTCGTTGCTTTATTTGTTATTTAAGAAATTTTATAATATTTTAGAATGACAAACCAGTTGGCATTTTTATGAATGGACAGAAAACGTACCTGACAGAATCCTTTCTTTGTGCCATATCCCCCTGCACAGATAACATTGGCAGGAAGGTCAATACCCCATTTCTTCTGACACTTTTCCAGGTTAATGATAGGAACATTCACCTCTTGCAGGTCATTAACATTTCCACCACCAGTTCTTGTGAAACCCCATCCAGCTACAACACATGTTTTGTTTTCTTTAAGGTGAATTTTGCGGCTTGGAAGTTGAATTGTCTTAATTAGTGATTTTTTGCCCAGGGGAACTTTCCTAGACAGCTGGAGACATAAAATGAGAAAGTAAAAGTTACAAACTGGCCAGGCTTAATTTTCTCAGTCAGACTTCAAATTAACAAATGATTGCTGGAAGATGGAACTGCTGATTTTGCTGTGAGGTTTGAGTGTTGCATGGATCCAGTATGTTCAGTATTTAGTGTTGCGTACCTCTCAGGTTACAAAAATGCACACTAGTAGGATATATATGAGTATTGAGTGGTAGTAAAGCAATTTATGCTCCATTATCCTCACAAAATATTAACTTGTAAGCTACATTTAGCTGATATAAAATCAAGACGTGTTTTATTTTACTGACTACTAAATGCACATAATTTAGTCGTGAAGGTTCATCTGTCACCTGGGATTATGAAGTTGAATCTACCTACTTTGAGAAGCATGATGTCATTCCCAAACACAGGTTTCACATAAGATGGGTGTTTGCACATCTTCACACCGTATCTCATTGTTTTATCATCAACCCTCCTCAGACTGTGGGTTCCAAGAACAACACTTGTAGGATTCCTGCATGAATAATGATTGAGAAATTGGCAAATTGTTTTCATTTATAGGTGAATCAAAGATAGCTAGAAGAGGAAAAGCAACTCACATATCTTTACAGTGCGCAGCAGTGAGTACAAAGTCTTCACTGATGAGGAATCCTCCACATATATGGTAGCCATGCTTGTTCTGCACCGAGGCCATATACTGCATCGACTTCAGCTTGGTCTTTTTACCATTTATGATTTCACTCCTAAGCGCTAAAAAGACAAAGAGGCATTTTAAATTAATGAATGCCTCATTTGTAAACTGGAGAATAATAATCAGATTTGGTAATCTTACCGTTTCCTCCGAAACATGTCAGAACATGAAAAAGCAAGAACTTGTGCAGAGCGTGCATATTGAAGGCAACAAACTAAATCTGTCACCTTTGGGCAGTTTGCATGCTGAGCGACCCTGTGGTTGTTACCTTGATTTTAGTCACATCCTGTGTTGATTTTTGTATTTGCACTTCTCCTCTTCATTTTCCCTTTTGCATCTGACACTGTCAATGCCTTTCAGTGATATTAATACATGTAATAAAGGGAGAAAACAGATTTAGAATGAAGGTTCTTTGCTGTGGATTTACTTTCTGGTTGTGAGCTTTGTGCTGGTGTGGGTTTGCTTTTGAAAACAAGATGAGCAACAGAAACTACAGATTCTAGTATCAGGTCATAGTTGTGAGATTAACTTATTTTATCACAACTTGACAGCAGTCTAAAGAAGCATATTACTCAGTCAGCTAATTTTTACATTTACCAGAACTGAACATGTCAAGAAGCCTACATCATGTTCACAGCACAGAGGGCCGGGGTCAAACCAAATACTTTAATAGTTTTTCGTTTTGACCATAAGAGGGCACCACTCCAGCAGTCTAAGTTAGAGAAACAACCTCAGTTATGCCTTTCTGCTGTACATTCAAATCATCTAGTCCAAGCCAGACAAGAGGCTTGTCATCCCTCTACATATGTTATTGTTTTATGGGTTATAGATTGCAGTATTTACTAAATGTTCATAGGTTAACAAGTTCATATGTATCTGTCTACAGTGTGTTTGCAGGAGGTCCCAAAAGTGTCCAGTAAGATAATACACATATCTTTCTCCTGGCAAGTTTGTTTTTCGACTCAAGGGAAATGAATTGTTGATAAGTAGATACAAAACTAGAGTAAAACCTCACCTGGACCCAGTTCTCTCAGTAAGAAGGTTTTTCCTCCATAGTTATCTTTCATTATGCTATTTGGATGTTCTGCCTATAATGGCTTGTTTTAAATAATGTATTAAATGTTAAACCTTAAATTTGTTGTTAGTTGCTTCCTACATTTGGATACTATCAAATGTAGCATTACATACAGTAGGCTATATATCATCTCAGCACTGACAGCTGTACTTTCAGTTCTCAGAGAGTGCCAGAGTTTGCAACAAGACTTTGACAAATACTTTGCTTTTTGACCATCAGAGGGTGCCACTTCTCCATCAGAGGAAATTTAATGTAAGGTCACAAATTGAGCTGTCTGATGAATCTCCCTAACTGTGGTCCATTAAAGTCCCTCATTTTAAACAAAACAGTTAGCATCATCCCACTATAAATACATGGGATGGTGTCTCAGGGTTTGTGATCATGCTGTTGTTTATAATGTATATATAAATACAGTGATATAAAAAAAAAATTATGTTATAATTTCCAGATTACAAGAAGGTATAAATAGGTCTGACATGGAAGTATGCACTAAAAATCATCTCCTGCTGCAGATTTTCCCATCAGTACAACATCTAAACGGCAAACAGTGGCCTGATATCTGATTATGTGGTGTAGTTACATGATTTGATTTTAAAAAATGCTTAAAATCTACAAAAACAATAAACTCTTCTTTGAATCTTCCTGGTTTAGGGATGAAACAAAATACCTCATAGCCTCAGAGCTTAATCAATTAGACTTCTCCTGTTTGCAGCCACTGAGTCTGGTGCTGAGGCTGGGGGAGTGCACGGCAGGATGGGCGAGATCATTGCATGGTGCTAAACCGCTACTACATTGTTTTGTTTTCCATCTTAGAAGTGGTTAGTTTTGTTTTAATGTAAATGTCAGTAGGGTTCAAATTGATCTTTCTGTGCTCTCCATATTGTCATCATTATGTACTCTGCCTTGATGGCTTTGACATCTTCTACTAATGTGGTGGACAGCCTCTGTGTTAGAGCAGAAAAAACCTTTAAAGGTCCAGTGTTTAACATGTAGGAGGGTCTAATAGCAGAAAATTAATATATTATTCATAGGCAGTGTGTGTAGACCTACTTGCTTAGAACAATTGATATATAACAAGTTAATGACATACATACATAGTAGCCTAATTTTATTCATAATCCATGCTGATGAAGATAAATAAAAATGGCAGAAACAGTATAAAGATGCCCCCAAAACTTCTGTTTAGTTTTCAGGGGAACTCATGCCTTATTAAGAGGAGCAGAAACATTACTGGTAGATGCCACTGAATCCTACACATTGGTCTTTTAAATGCTGTCAGAGAAGTGATGAATACTGCTACAGCTGCTCTGTAGACATAGAAACATCAAGTTATTAAATACAAGAAAGATTTTTAGAGGCAATGTGTCACCATCATTTTCAAACCTTCATATAATATTCAAAAGTGTCGCGCCAGGACAGTTTTTGTCATTGGTCCTTTAGGCCCCCTGAGTTTGGCCTGCAATTAAACATCTGTCTAGACACAGCTGTCTTGCTAGAATGCTTTCTGTCTAAATTTCATTGTTACTGTTCCAGAGTCTGTCTACATATGCGTCCATGGGACAGAACAAAATAAACATTGCTTACAGTTAGTTTCTTAATCCCTAGTTGTAGCCAGGATTTGAGTGGAAGATTGTTCCTGTACAGACTCAGCTGGCGTGGATATAACGTCCTTACGTTTTCCAGCCAGTGTCAAGTTCTTTCTCTTTCAACATGCAGAGGAAACTGAAATTTGCACGTCTTACTAATTATCTGATACAGCCCACAGGTTTTAATCCAATATTTCAAACCTCCTTACAGGAAAAGGAAAGCAGATTTTGACATTGTACGTATAAATCCTTTGCTTTTAAGGAAGAACATCCACCTGTTAATCTTTGAAGTTAAAAAAGTGCCGCGTTGAAAAAATATCGCCATGCATGCAGTGACAGAACACAGAGTCTGTCTGGTTTCACTGGCATGAAGAATTACTTCACACAGCGGGACTTGAGGGGCAGGGTGGATAGGCTTTGGCACTGCTAAAGCTTTGCATGAAGCGGCTCTGACTTTGGTCTTTTCCAGTCACTAACAGCCAAAGACAACCTCATGATGTTGACTGGGACATTGGCCAACATGTGGCTGGCCTGCTTTAGCTAGCCTACCTATATAGGAGATGGTCTGTGCCCCTTTAAGCCGCCACCACCTTTTCAGGAATCTTCTTGTTATACTGTTAGATTTTTAATTGCTTATGATTATTTTCCTACATGTTAACAGTCTACCAGTCACAGGTCTCGTGTAAGTAAAAACATACCTACTAAGCTTTGGTCACAGTAGTGTGGCTCTCTAGCCTGATCGGTATTTGATGTATGTCTCTGCAGGACATGTGCAAGCAAGTTTGCCCTTCCTGCTGTAACATCTTGGTGAGACGGAGAAGTAACATTGTCTGTGTGAAAACATTTTTTAATCATATCACAATCAGTAGCCGAAGCTAAATAAAAAGATGTTGATCTTACCGGTCTCTTAAGTCTAAGATCACACCAGTCCTACAGAAAAATTGTTCCAGTTCAGACATACCGCATTTGAAAACAACATTTTTTACTCCAAAGCCCAATGAGTGTAGCATTGGGTGTCCTCATACTGGCCTCTGCTTGCATAGTGCACATAACAATGTTAATTGCATGTTATTTTGCAAGCTGTTTACACTTAATCATTTGAGCTCCGAGAGAATAACAAATGTAAAGGGCTATATAATGGTAAGGATATTTTATTGTCTTACTATGAGTTAGATGAGAGGACAGATACCACGCTGTACACTAAACTGAAGCTACAGCCAGTAGCTAATTAGCTTAGGGTAGCACACAGCAGAGGGAAAGTGCTAGGCTGGCTCTGCTTACTAGCACCTCTAAAGCTCACCAATTAACACATTATATAGCATTTGTTTCATCTCAAGCCTTCACTCGTTGCTTGGCAACCTAACGGTGACAATGGGACTACAGGAACTCCACCTCCAGTAAAACCACAACTTGCCGTTTTTACACTCCAGTTTGTATGACTTATTATACATTATACAATGTGAGCTTTAGAAGTTCTGATAGGTGGATTTTTTACCTTTGCACAAAGCCAGGCTGTTTCCCCCCCGTGTCCAGGCTTTATTTTAAGTTAAGCCAACCGCCTGCTGGCTGTAGCTTCATATTTGCTGTACAAACACAAGAGTGGTATTTATTTTCTCACCTAACTCTTATAGAAGACAACTAATTATCATTTTTATTTTCTTTTAAATTGGCTTTTTTCTCTCTCATTGTTCATCCTTGGTACATCCTACTAATATAATAGTCTTTTCTGTTTATCCAATATTAGATTACACTTATTTACTTTCCTTTCTTTTCCTCTCATTCTGATTCACACAATCATCCCTCCATCCATCTCCTCACCTTGTCCCCTGGTGTCTGGCACGACTGCAGGCATCCAGAGAATGCCTGACATGGGGTTTGGCCGGTCGGCACCACATACCTGCGGCGTGGCATGGCAGGGCTTTAGGGGAAATGTGGCGCATGTGCCACTCAGCAGCCCTGTCTAATGTCCAGTAAGTGGCTTCAGACATGAACACTAATCCACTCAGTGATGAGAAGGCCTCAGTCTGATGGCTCTGCTGCAGGCTGCCAAGACTGTCCGAGCGCACTCTCAGGTTCAGACAGAGCACAATGGGGACAAACTGTAGGCTTCAAAGGGAATCATTGCAATTTTAATGAAATTGTATTTCCTTTGCAGGTATTTGACTGTGATGAATCAATTTGTTCATGCTTTTCCTCTCTCTTATGAAATATTTATTTTCAAAAGGAGACACAGGACAGTGTCTCTGCTCTTACATGAAATAGAGGATATATGAAAATACAGCTTATGAATAAGATGCCCCTCATCAGGTCAGCAAACCTTTTAATCTCTCTTTAAAGTAGCTCAAACGTCATTGGATATATTATTAAAAAACATATTACACTCAGTTCAGACATTACTGTGCCATTACATCACATAAAGGTTTAGATTTTTTTTTAGAAATAACTGAATGCATATTTTCATCCAGCATGACATATTTGGTATTTCTGGAGAGTCTGAGCAGAGCTAAATTGTGTAGCATGCATTTTCTAGAGGTGAATTCAGACAAAGTGATCCAAACTTTTGCTGTGTCATTGTCAGATTTGACCACTGGACCATTTGTTCAGTCTGCGTTTACACGACCCTTAACACCTTCAACTTGTAAGGACTTGTCTTTCCCCCATTTAGCACCAACCTCTTCTCTATTCCTGCCCACTTGGGTCTTTTTATTGACCTTATAAGTGTGTCTTATATGTGCCACCTCTGTAATTTGTGTTCCATCTGAACACAAGGTAATGATACAGCCACTTGTGTACAGAAGGTTTGAAATCTAAAATTCAAACTGTCACCTCTAGTCACACATAAAGGCAAAATTGTCATACTATATACGACACTTAATACATGATTCTGCTCATTTTTAGTTGCTGTGTGAACAAAGCTGCAATAAATCCCTTGAACTATCATTTTTGCACCAACTGTCACTGAAATGAGAATTTAAGACAAAATCCTGAAAAAGTTCTGCATTCTCAAGAATCTGGTCATAAACATAGTGTATACCTGATAACCATACACATGTACGCATGCTCGCAAACTCACACACACACACTCATCTGTCGTCCACCCTTTAGTCCATCTATTCAGCATTATAACTTGGGCTGTTTTTGTAACAAAACAAGGCCTAATCCTAAATTCAGGGAGCTGTGAATGTGCCTCAACAAATGGCAGACAAATGAGAAGGATTAGCGAGGGCCTGTGAAAGAGTGAAAGGTTTGCCATTGATCTACGGTGGTCCTGTTCTCTTTCAGGGCCACTCGGTTTGAAAACCCCACTGAGTAAGAGCATACAGGGCCACTCCAGAGCCCCCTAGGCCACCGAGAGACACACAACAGCCACAATTAGTCTCAGGAGCTGTAATGGCAATTCAATAAGCGCTTTAAAATTGTGCCTTAGTCCGTCTGCCACCCCCCAACCCCTCCCATCCCTCCCATTTTCGTCTACATACATAAGATTGGTATTATGAGTGGCGAGGGGCTCTTTTTTTCTTTCCCACCCACCACAGTTCTTTTCAGTCACTGTGAGAGAAAATGACCACACAGGGTTTCAAAGGTTCCAGAGGCTGTGGTTTGTTGTCGCTGAAGCAGCATGACTTGTGCCCCTGTAGATTTTGGCTAAGGCCCTCAAAATGGGCTTCTATTATTACTTTTTTCTGTCACTCAGCTGCAAATTAATTTCGAAGCAGTCAAAGTAACTCTCTCTATAAACACTATTTTTATTGGCTCAGGGAGAATACCGTCATCCAAGTGGCGTTTTCATGGAAGTGCTGATGCGGAGGTGCACTGTACTTTTTAGATTTTTTTAAGTGTGCAGACGCTTCCACCAAATTTTGATCGTGAAGAGGCCTTCGCAGAAACATAAAGACACCACCTGCTGTGCAGCCTACCAGGTGCTATCTGACTCACTTTAGCGACAACATCATTGCATGACTCACTCTCTCAGTCTTCTGCTTACACCGATCAGATCAAACACAGCCCAAACACCTGTGCCCCTGACATCAACACATCATGGCAGAGGAGGAGCTGAGGATGTCTTCTGGATGGCTGTCATTTCCATTCTCCGGGGGCTCTCTTTGGGACATTCCTCGTTGATTTTGCACAGTGTTTAGGTTTTTCCTTTTGCTTCATGATCAAAGGCCAAAGCTTTTGATCAGGACTTCCAAAGGATCCCTCTTGTTTTGCTGGCGAGCGCACTGACAGGACAGTGGTGGAGCAATGATAATTACAGCTCCCATTTGGTGTCCCTGGAACTGGCACCAACAGCCAGTCGCACCCTCAGGCCAAGAAGAAAGGAGAGATTCTTGGACAGTTAAAAGAGGAGAGTGGAGAGGTACAGGAGAAAAGATGGAGGACACACTGACAAAGAGGCGAGTCAATCGAGAGAACAGGCAGAAAATGGGATTACTCTGTGCCGTGCATGTTTTAGTGTGTCTGTGCCAGCTGACGGTTGGATAACATTATGTTCAGAGACACCTGTATAGCTGGAATGCACTGTATTCTGCACTGCTATATAGTATTTTTACATATAGCAGTCTATCTTATAACAAGAAAGCAAGCAAGCTGAAATAAATATCACATATATTGCATGTTGTATCAACATTGTTAGTATAAACTTGAGGGAAAAGTTGATCATTTTGGTAATTATGGTTATTTGCTTTCTTGCTGAGAGTGAGATGAGCGGATTGGTACCACTCTCAAGGTTGTGTGCTAAGAATGAAGCTACAAACAACAGCTGGCTAAGTTGGCTTAGCACAAAGACTGGAAACACTGGAAACTGCTTACTTGCTAGCCTGTAAAAAAAGAAACAATTCACAGTTTCATGGGGGGTTTATGTGCCAGACTGTATTGCCTCTGCCGGTTGGCGTTCCTCCTGTTTCCAGTCTTTGTGCTAAGCTAAGTTAGCCGGCTGCTGCTGATAGCTTCATATTCAGTTTACAGACGTGATATCTACGAATATCTAACTCTAGGCAAGAAAGAAAGGAAAAAGTAGTATATTTTACAGTTTAAATACAACAGCAGCAAAAGGAGAACAAATACAAGGAGTCTTTACTTTTCAAAACATAACAATCCCTCAGGGTGCACAGCCGAGGACAAAGACATTTGCATGGCAACAGTACTGCAAGACCCCCCATACTGATATCTGTGTGCTGCACCCAGACCTTTGGAGCTGAACTACAGTTTGACTTCACACCATTCTGACCAAACATGTACCCCGTCACAGTAATCTCACATTATGACAGGCTGAAAGGTTGGCCTTTATTCACCCCAAACAGCCACTATTCATTCCCGACTCTCCTTTCTGTTCACTGAAAAGACAGAGTGGCCTCCTGTGCCACTGGAGGGCTCGTCTGTGTGTAAATGACCTTGATGCTCGGTTGCATAGTTCATAACCGCAGACCTTTCATCAGACACGGGGAGATCCTCCACATCAACGCCTCTCCTGCTGTGAGTTTTGTTGTGATTATGATGAGGAGGGGGATTAAGGCGGAGAGCTCTGATGGAGATGTTACCAACCCTTAACAATCAGTGCCATGCACAAGACAAGATTAGGATGCCATTTTTGCACTTGATGATTTAAAAAAGGCTCGCTAGCACGAGGGAGTGAACCATGACTCGTGATTTATCCACATTTTTATTGAAGTTAACCAAACTCAGCATGGACCAAGGCACTCAAATGATTTTACTTTGCTGTAATGAATCTAAAGACTTGTTTGTTTTGAAACTTTGGCCATATACAAACCTCTATTACTGGCCTATAGCTGAAAGCTGTTTATGATAAGTGGATCACACATGTTTCAATACCCAGTAGTAATACCATACAAAATGAGCTGAATATGGACTTGAATACGATTACTTTTTCCCTTTCTTTTTTTAACAGTATGACTACAATCCAACACAAAAAGTCGTCAATAACGATAAACATCAACTTCAAACAGTTAAAGAGTACAAAATGTTTTAAATATATTAAATGTTCTATTAGCAACAGCCTTGAGAAAATGTTAGCAAGACTTGACAGAGAGGCAGTATGTAATAACCATTTACTATTGTGTACAAAATTAATGAATTTTCTGCTAGTGACATCTGGCATTCCTACGGCTGCTATAATGCATTAAATGACTCAAAACGTATATTATTATTTCACGACTGAACTAAGGACCAAGAATCAGAGACTAGATGAGACACAATGCATTTTTTTTCCTATACAGCTTTCTAATCTATTAGCTGTGGGTTGTTGAATGTGAGAAGCAGTCTGACAGAAGCATGCACAAACATATGAAGGTCATCTCAGAAAATCCAGCATGTTATCCCAGTAGTTAGCTTAGTTCCTGTTGTGTTTGTCATATGTTGACATATACAGCCAGAACAGTACATTTATAATTTTTTTGAGTCCGAAGAGACTCGCCTGTACAGTTCTGGGGCAGATCAGTGTCTCTTATCCAGTAGTGTCAGTACAGTACATCCCAAGCAACGGTGGAGATGTTTTTAACAGGGCCATAGCCAGGATTTGAAGAAATACTGAGGTCACGCGTCTAAACCCCCCCAATTTTTCATTAATTAACGAATGAATGTATTTCTCATCTCATCTTATTTGTTGTGTTCTTTAGTTATATTAAGCCTTCACCACTTAAAATATAAATTAAATTGGGTGGTGGATAAATACCTTTTTAAATTTCGTTTGTTTATGTATTTTTGTTGGCCTAAAAGTATTTTCTTTTTAAATTTAGCCTTACAACATGTGAAATTATTTTTTTCTCCACATTATACCTAAATGTGTTTCACATGTTTTTTGTAAATATAATCTTACAGATTGCCTATGTGAGACACCAGACAATGACTCAATATGGGAATTTTTCACATTTGAATGTGCTCCACGTATGATGATGAGAAATGTGTATATAGTGTAATAAATTCACATTTGCTTTTTTAGTAAAGCTAAATGTGCAATATTAAGTCTTAAGATACTGAAATCGGTCCACTACACATACATTTTTAATTAAGGAATATGACTCACCCCAAAAGCCCACAAAAAATACTGAGGACACGACCTCAGCGTCCTCAATGGTTGCTATGGCCCTGATTAGTAGCTATTTCAAAGTTGCTTCTTTTTCTAATAGTGATACTAGTCATCCATCACAGACTAGATACATGTCATTGTTGCTGTACCAGATGCTTCTGTTCTTATTTAGCTGGGCATCTAAAATAGGCAAAATAACAAACCAGTGAGTCACATTTTGTTGTTTCCAAGCCTTGCTGTACCTTTTCAGTCCTTTTACAGTCTCTTGAAGTCACCCAAACACTGCTTTACATGCAGTTAAAACACAGACTGATGCCTGAAGATAGTATAATTCTACTGTATTGGACTGTATTATGGAACATCATTAGAAAATGGGGGGAAATAACTTAAAAGTACATATTATACTAACTCTACAAATGTTACAAACCTCAACAAATGTACATTTATGTGACAGGAGGATGGAATAATAAAAATAAAGATTGCCGTCACGACTAGAAGAACGCTAGTGTGAGGAGGCAGGGGGAGCCAGCCAGTTGCTGGTCAGAGTTCAGACTTGGGCAGCTAGGAGGGGAGCATGGGTAGGAAGTGAGTAGACGGATGCCTTCGTCGAGCCTTGTGACCTCGTCGGGGCTTCCCCCTCCCGTTCAGCGAAACAAACATCTGCCTGCCACCGTGCTTCCAGCGGAGGGAGGCGTACGTGTTGTAGCCGTTCTCCTCAATGCGCTCCTTGAACTTGCAGCTCGGGTTGTACTTCACCTGTGATCAGAGGGAGGAAGACAGGGAGGAAGACAGAGAGGTTAAAGAGGTTATAACAGATGTGTAACAGTGTATAGCTATTCCTGCTGTGCTGTACTAGGCCAGCTTCCAAGAAGTGCACAAAGGTTAATGTCTGTCGCAGTAAAAGATTTTCCAGGTGTTTGTAGTTGATAGGGTGAGTATTTCATCACAAAGTATTTAGCTGGTTTGTCTTTTGAAGGCCACTGTGGACGTTTTCAGTCTAGAATTAAAAGGTTGGTTCAGCCAAATGAAAAAAAAAATCACTTGGCGGTGTCTATTCATGCAGTTTTGGGGTTATAAGATATCCACCTCTTCTTTTCTGTCAACCCAATACAGTTTTACATGTCAGTGGAATTTCATTTGTGCTGCTAAGAAAGATTTGAATAACTACCATTAAAACCCCAAAAGTAATATCCAGAATATAGGTTACTCGCAGTAATCTATTTCAGTTTTCATTGAGGCCTATCTCTGAAAACTGATCATTGACTGAAACTTAAAACAGTCTTTACTGGTTTCAGTGGCACAAACAGAGCTCAAAACCCCAAAATACCTCATAATACCACACATTAAACCAACAATATAGAAAATAATTTGGGTGATCCACTCAAAGCAATCAAAATGAACACAGTAAATAAAAAATACCCACATTAACATTAATTTATATCAAAATCATTTTCTGATCCAGTTTTTTTTTATTCAAGTTACAAGCTTTGTCTGCAGGTATGTTGATCTGTGAAGGTAATTCAACAGTCGGCACAGCACACTTTTCCATGGGTGGTTACCACTTCTTATCGGTAACTCAAAGAGTCTTGAAAGATATTGTAGTGACAAGAGGTTCTGCTGCATTCCCTTTTCCAGATTGCTATCGTGCAGCCGTAATGAGGCCCTCTCTGTGATAACATCAGCATAGTATGAGCCTGCCGTGATTCACCTGCCTTTTTCTTATTATGGGAGGTTTCAGCTTTTGGAAAGCTCTGGGTCTTCGGGTCTGTTTATGTCGTGTTTACCGTGTTAGCTTGTTGAAGGCACTTGTCTTATCACTGCTGCTGACTGATTGCTTGTACCTGGATTCTACTTCTCTGAGATATAAATATATGAGCCAGACACTCAGGTCTGATATGTGGCTGATTTTAACAAAGAGAGGTGATTACTTTTGAAAGCTTTTCTGTGTGAAACAACAATTAGCAGATGGCACGCAAAGATTTTTTAAAGGAGCCCAGCTGGCTCTTTGTCATTGCTTGTTGGGTTTCTTTCCTATGCTATCTATTTTGACAGAGGGAAAAAAGCCAACTCAAGCTGCAGGTATCATCAACCAAAGCCCAGGTGTACAGCCGTGATTGATTTAACACTGACCTTTTCTGGACTTTCCAGCAGAAGATTCCTGACGTTTCCCTTCCCTTCAGCAGAATCAAACATGTTTGGGTAGGCACTCATTTGGGACCCCTATACATACTGCATATACCTCCCCTACCCTCACCACCACCACCACCCCCTTCCCAGCCCTCCCATCTTGACCTCCAGGAACAATGTTGCCGGGTTGTATACGCACCGATCCAAAGAGTGTGCCTTTCTTGGACATAGCTAAGTACAGCCCGGTGCTGACAGATTTGATGGCAACAACTCCCACACTGACAGATCGGATTTCCATCAGGCCTGGAAAATAAAAGAGGGAACAAGAGTCTGGGTTAGAAACATCTAGCTTTGGGAGTTTCCCCATCAAAAGCCACTCTATCATTAGCGATTAGGATACCAGACAGCCATATGCTCTGGGGAGAGAGAGCCCAAGACAAGAGAAAAAGAAAAAAAAACACACACACATATACAGGACATGCACAATGGACTGAGAGAGCTCCCTTTGTGAGAGGACTGGGCTAGCTCAGAGCATCTAGAGCAATAGGTTAAAGTTTGATCATATCAGAAAAGGTGGGAAATTCTCATTATTTCTCATAGAAACTTTACCAACGGACCCCAGTCTCAGGACCACATCCTGAGCTACATACACATACACAGTGTCTGAGCCTGCACAGTGTCATTCTGCCTGGCTGCTTGCATCCACTCAATTCTCCTGACTCCAGATGTGACACTCTGCCCGGATGATGCCCAGTGTTGTTTATTGAGGGACATAAAACCCGTGTCTGCTGGCCACTTAGGCAGCCTCTCCAACTCACTTCATCCCATGAAAAAGCTGGCAAGCTTGTGGGTTAATTGTTTCCTCTGGGCACTGATTGCAAACAAGTCCCATGTGGCTCACTCTTGATCTGGTTTTTGTCTGCATACAAAAATAAAGGCACACACCCATTGTCATGGCTACGACAGGGAGATGTTTTGGAGATGACCTGAAGGCTTACCACAGGGTCCTGAATAGAAGCTAATTGCTGGAGATGAAGCTCTCTTTCGGATGACATGTTTTCTTGCTTTATTTGCCCCACTTACACCTTCAAAAGCACCCTGATGTGGTCCGCTATCTGATCAGAGCACGAAATCTTCCTCACACTTCCTTACACCCCTGAAAAAACCAAGTCTGTGCAGAGAAAACATGTAATGTTGTTGCTCAGAGGCTAGGCAACGCTGCGTAGTTGAGAGAAAAGATTGTTGGCTTTGGAAAGATGCTGTAAACATAGCAGCAGATCAAGGTGCTGAAGGACAGGGTGACCCAAAGCTGGTAGGAAATGAAGTAGTCATGAAAGCAGCAGTGGGCCACCGGCCACCCAACTGACCAACCCCCAGCTGCTTTTGGTACAACCGCGAGTCTTGTACAGGGCAGTGACTGAGTTCCTGAACGGTCTCGCTGGTTAAAGCCATCCAGCAATGAAAAATAAACGCTCACACCAGGAGTTTCACAGGTGCTACTCCCCCTGCTCTGCAGTTTTTTCTACCTATTTATTTGTGCAAACCCAGATTTTGTTTGGAAAGAACAGTAAAGCTGAACTTGGCGCAAAGGCTTGACTTAATATGTTTTTTGACTAAATAATGAGTTTAATATTTGTTTTAGACCAGACTTAAAGGATAGGGTCTCTAAGACCATCTTAATACACAGTAAGTCCTGTTTGTACATAGAAGCGTTTTGCCATTGTTCACCATTGTTCTGAACGTTGGGCACAAAAAGGACTTGGTTAGGTTAGGGGAAAGATTGTGGTTTGGGTCTTAGTTAAGGTTACAGAAACATAGCTATGGTTATGGAAGCTTCCTCGTCATGGTTACGACAATAAATAAATACTTGGTTATGGTCTAGTAATGACTATTGCCTTGCTTTAAAAAAACAAACAATGTTGACTGCCAGTTGGAAACAGGAAACAGACATCAATATCCCGTGTTACAGTCTGATGTTTTGTTGACTCATTCATCCACACCGACCTCCTCCTCCCTACCTGAACCTAGTCACTCTATCATCATTTGACTTCCTCCTATGGCCACTAGAGGGCTTTGTCACGTGAATATGGGCACTTTTGAAACGAGTGATCCTGTCATTGTCCTTGGGAAGTGAATGAGAAGGGACAAAATTCCCTCATATTTCAACTTTATAATGCAACTTCATACTGAATGAGGACTGTGGATTTTATCCCCATTCACTTACAATGTAATCATCATAATCCTCTTTATAGCTAGTATGGTTAAGAGCAATATTTTCAGCCACCAAATGGACATGTGAGTATTCAAAATAGACGTGTGAACCTGTCGTCTGTGTGTAATGTTGTACAGATCAGTACATAATTGCATATTCTAATTATTATGTTGTATTTATATTGTGGGATATCTTTTGGAAAGTCATTTGTGTAAGGTTTATCTTTATGTTTATGTATTTTATTGTTAGATGGCAGCGAGTTAACAAGCCGGAATGTTTGTTTTGTTGTTAGTTAATGTGTCTGAATAATCCCATGAGGGATAGGGTCAGAAATTGACCGGACAACGGCATAAAATCTTCATTTATTCATTCATTCATTCGTAGATGCCACCCCGCCCCCCTACTAACCTAACTAATCTTCTCTACAGGGCCGACTGCTAATATCATCAGATACTGTGGCTGAATTTCAAAGAGCAATCTGAAGGGCCTCCAAAACTTAAAAACACACATCTGCTACCCCCATCACTCTAAACACGCAAACTGTCTTTTTTTTTTTCAGCTCTGAACATCACCAGTCGTGCTTACGAAGTGAGGTCATCTACTTCAGGCGCAGACACAGAGAAGTACAAAGAGTTAAAAGGAGGAAAGGAAAGAGGAGGAAAGTAAACAAACACGAACTCCTGTTGAGTGTCTTTCTTCTCTGACAGGGCCGTGTAAATGAAGCCCCCTTTGCACTCGCCGCAGCTGCAGGGAAGGAGGGAATGCCTTCCGTCGGGTCCATCCAGGTACCGGCCCAGCTGCACCCCCATCATCCCTGCATAGCCTCTGATCCTCCGAGGAAACATTAACACTTTGATGGCAGCCTCCTCTTTACGAGCTGTGTTTACAAAC